TTTGTAAAGAAATGTTCTTAAAATTACCAAAAAAGGCAATTTTTAAGAACTGATGGTTTTACGGGAAAGAGTTTTTATAAAAATTATTATTGATAATATGTATATTACACATATTACACATATTACATATATAAAAAATAACATGACTAAACATATGTGATTCGATGCAGTTCCATTATCTTCAAAAGATTATAAGTTTATTATGCAATATCAAGATGTATAGCCTAAAACTGACATTTTAAAGATGTTAAGAGAAAGATATCCTATGACAAATAACCAATTTTATAAAATTTGGAGAGGGCAGAAAGTTAGTATGGTAGAATGACATCAGCCTATATCAGAATTAATAACACCCTCAAGTCAGGATTTATCTATATCAGAATTATTCCTCAAATCATGCTCACCAAGTATTGACCATATCACCTCCACTGAAGAAACTAGTATAACAGAGAATTCTAATCAAATTAATATTCCGAACAAGTGGGTTAAAAATAGAAAACCAAGATCTAGGGGCATAGCTTATTCCATGTCTCAAAGAGACACTCCTATGGGTTTGCAAAGCAATAAATCTGTACAGATTTCTGATTCATCTAATAGTGGAGCTAGTATCAAGGCACATATTATTAATAAAAGTGATATACCCAATACCCTAACAAAAAAAGCAGAAAAATACTTTAATTGAGTATGATCGTAAAGAATTAGAAGTAATCGAACGTGAATCAGAAAGAATTTTAGTCACGAAGTGACTGCTTTCAGCAAATTCCAGTTAATCTATCTTTGCTTTTTCTAGAGTGTTTTGCATTCCATATAATATATCAATACTGATAACCTTCTTGGACTTATTTATATGAAGTTGCAATTTCCTATTAAAATCCATTAATTTTACATTGGATTCGAGTACCTCATATAGCGATTTTTCCAGCTCCTTATAGCTCATGCGTTTTTTTTTAATGTCGAATTATCAGAATCTAGAGGTAGGGTCTCATCTCATCTATATCCTGGGAAATTTGATCGGATGCCAAAAGCTTATCATTCTGAGATGCAGTAGCACAATTTACTTTGAGTTTATTCTTGACTTTTTGCATATTTATCGGAATAAAATACTCTTTACCATTACATATGAGTTTTAATTCTTGTTTCAACGCAAGCAAATCGTAATCATATTTATCTAGGAAAGTATTTGACAAAATTAGCATGGGTTTGAGATATTTGACTACCACAAAATCAGAATATATAGTACAATCTCAGGCAAAATTTATTGGTACATTGTGAACAATTCCAAGTGATTCAGTAGGGATGGTAGCAATACCTCTAAAATCGTGTTTTTCGCTTGTATCAATATGTAATTTTAGTCGTTCGGCTATATTCTTAGACATAATTAGAAAATTTGTACCAGGATTTACTGTCGCTGCTGGGATTTCCAATTGTTTAATTTTGCATTTTGTAGTTACAACATCTGTAGCTGGATCTTTTTTTTGAACGAAATCTATCTCCATAGAATCATCTAGCATTTCATCTTCTCCATCAGAATCAGGCATTTCTGGAGCTGGATCTCGATAATTCATAAAATCAGGTCTGGTAACAGATAAATTCATGTTATTAATATTGTTTTTAATCATTTCTATAACCTCTGGATTGTTAAACATAGCTAGAATAATTTCTCAAATTTGTGAATTAATAATCGTCCCTGATTTTATTTGTGATTTTTGTGAAGTGTGTTAAATCAGAGATTCAAGACTTTGTTTCTTCTTTGGACTAGATCGCTTTTTAGAGAATAATTTACTCTTTGGCTTTACTTTTTTTTTGATTTAACAGCATTGATAATTTTCGCAATTTCAGACTCAGTTAAGTCATTCTCAGAATCAAATTCTAATTCAGAACCAGAACTTGATTCAGAGTCTGAGTTGGAATTAGATTCATTATCAGAAGAGCTAGCATTGGACTCAGAATCTGAATCTTTAGTAGCTATATTAATCTTATCTTTTTTCTTGAATCTGCTTTTGTTAAAACATCTAGACTTGCTCTTCTTTTTATTTTTAGGACAGTTGTGGAAATTATGGCTTGTTTTACCACACTTTGAACATTTGTGAGAAGATTTTAAAACTGCATGTATTATTCAAGCTAGTTTTGCTTGATTGATATCCAAATCCTCGAATTGTTTTCTCAAATCTTCAATGGGATCATAGTTATAAGCTTCTTCTAATAAATCTGTGTTATTGATAACATTATCTAAAAAATGGTTTATAACAAGATCATCAGCTTTTTGTTTCCCTGGTCCAGGGGGTTTCTTCAAAGTTTGCTGTCCTTTAGCAATAGTTCCTTTCAAACTCGCTATAATTTTTTTGAAATTAACTTGTGAAAGTGTAATTTGGTTCTCCTGAGGTTTAGAAGAGATAGTTTGTGAGACCAGTTAAGCTTGTATAAATGCCATAATAGATTTTACGTAGTTTTCTATTTCATCTTTGGTCATACCTGTATTGTTACTTTTTTCATAGGGATTAGGCACTTGACCTCCAGAAGGTGGGAATAGAAAATTGCCTTGTAGTAGTGAAAATTTTTCTGCTTCAACTAATGCTTTTGTAATATTATCTTTAGTATTATGATATTTAGCCATCATTCGAACATTGTATTGATTCATAGGATTTAATCCTGAATATATTGCTCTCTTATTTTTGATTCTGGTAATCCAGCAAGTTTTCCGAGTTTTGATATCTTGACATTATACTCGAGTATTGACATACCTCCTTGCACAATCTGACCAAAGAAAAGCAAATTTTTTTGTGCTTCAACTGTGAGATAAAGATATTCAAGGCAGTATAAAAATTGTTCAAGAGTCATTTCTAGTGCAACAATTGAATTACCTGCACCAGCATTTGTATAATTGGCTGGAGATGGAGTTCCTATAGGTGCAGGATGCCCTCCAGCTATACTCCAATCTTTATCCCATGTACCTACTGGAATAATATTAGCACTAATTATTGTATTATCACCTTCAGCATTATTTCTTATAACTAATACTTCTCCAAGAAACTGATTTGCATTAATACCTGTTAAGCCTCCATTATTTAATAATCGAATTGCATTTAAGGTGTTCACGCCAGTACTATCAAGAATATTATCACATTGCCAATTTCTATTTTTGATTTCATTCTCAAATCAGGTTTTTGCTTCACTAACCATACATAATATAGCTAAATTATATGCTTTTGCTCTACCAGCAACTCCTCCTGCACCAGCTATAACGTTTATTCGAGATGCAATTACAAATCTCTTGAATTCTAAGACCCAATCTGATGGATCTTCTCCAGCTTTTCTAGTAAAAAGAGGTGATCCATTTTCTATCATATTCAATATTTGTATTTGAGGTGGATTTATAGGTAGCTTATTCTGTAGTAATAAAATTTGGACTTGTAAATTCAAAATTAATTGATGTTGTGCAAATTTTTCTGTCAATAATGTAACATTACGTCTTTTTTGTGCTTGGATGGTTAATCGCCCATATAATTCACGAGATCTCATAATAGTGCTTTTATTTTTTCACTTCTGATATCTGGCTATAAGTTGGTCACACCAATATTCTAACATAGCCTCATTAGCATGACATTCTTGTAAATCTCTTTCGGCTTGATATGCTCTATTTCTATAAATAGTATATATTTATCATGTACAAAAATATTATAACTTAAATATACAGTCCGGAACAAAAAAAACTATATTTAATATTTTTATTATAACTTTATAAAAACTTATTTAAATAATATAAAAATTTTAATATATATTCTTTAAAACTTA